TTTTTTTTTTTTTTTTTTTTTTGTTTGCAGATGACAGTCTCTTATTTTGTGATGCTGAAGTTACCCAGATATCATAATTGAAGTGCCTTTTTAGTTTTTATGAAGCAGCCTCGAGACAACAAATAAAATTTGCAATGTCTGCTATCTATTTTAGCCCATCCACCCCTGAATCAATCCAAGCTCAACTTCAAGCGCTTTTGGGGGTACCAATTGTCCCTTGCCCTGAACGTTATTTGGATCTTCCTACTATAGTCGGAAAAAATAAAAAACATATGTTCCTAGCAATCAAAGATTGCATTTGGAAGAAGATTTCAGGATGGGAAGGTAAACTTATTTAGAATGCTAGGAAGGAGGTGCTTATTAAGGTGGTGTGTCAGGCGATGCCTACCTATTCTATGAGTGCCTTTCGTCTACCGTCTGGCTTATGCTCTAAAATTGAGAATATTTTTGGTCGTTATTGGTGGTCTAAAGACAGTGAAAAAGGTATCCATTGGAACACCTGGAAGGCTCTGAGCAAGCACAAGATTGAAGGAGGTCTCGATTTTCAAGAACTTGTCTACTTTAATCAAGCTTTGCTTGCCAAACAAAGGTGGCGTCTTCTGGAATTCCCCAATTCCGTTATTGCACAGATGCTTAAAGCTTAGTATTTTCCAGAGTTTGATTTTCTGCATGCTTAAAGGGGTTCGACACCTTCTTTACCTGGCAGTCGATATTATGGGGTCTTGAACTCCTCTCCCGCAGTCTTCGATGGCATATTGGTGATGGCCGACTTGTGAACATCTACATCGATCCGTGGGTACCTCACCATCTTACATTTACTGTTCAATCTTCTCCTTGTCTCCCTGTGGATTCCAGAGTCAGTGCTCTTATTTCTGCTAATGGTCACTAAAATGTTTCTGAGATCTACCGCTTATTCACCTTTCCTGAAGCTAAACTCATCCTATCTATCCCTCTGAATTGCGATACTGGTGATCGCCGTGTTTGGAATTTTACTTGTAATGGTCGGTATACAGTTAAGAGTGGATATTGGTCTGCATTGGAATTTCAAGCTTAGATGGCCTCTTTGTCTGTGTCTGGGTCTTGCTCTTACTCCTCTCAACAATTATGGAAGCATTTATGGAAGCTTTAAGTTCCATCGAAAATGGAACATTTCCTTTGGCGTCTCGCCCACAACACTCTCCCTACCTGTGAGGTGCTTCTTTAGCGGAAAATAGTCCAAGATACCACTTGCTTTCGTTGTATGGGTCTGACTGAAACTGTGATGCATGCTATTCACGATTGCACGGTCAGTTCTTATGTTTTGCGCTTAATGGGTTGGGCTCCACTTCTCACCACTTTACTCTGTCATGATGCTGCAATTTGGTTGTTGGCTGTATGGGATATCCTCCCTAGCTCACAACACTCTTTGGTTACTATTACTTTGGGGTTCTTGTGGAATACCTGAAATGCATCTTTTGTGGGAGCCATTTCTTCCCACGAGAATATTCGATTGAAAGATTCCTCTTTCTTCTTCACCGCACCTTTCTCCCTGCAAAATATATCAAAATAAGAGGACCACACCCGGGGGGTGTTGGCCAAATGCCCTCTAACGCCTAAGTTAGTTCAATTGATTTAGGGAAAAACCAATAGCCAAATAGGGTACGGAGATATATATGTAAGGTGTAAACCAGGTGGCCAGAGCCGTGAATGGTGGTCGAAGTCTTGTGTAAAAGGGAGAGAGAGTATGGCAGCTAGGGTTTGTGAGGGATAATCTCTGTAGAGTTTCAGTAGGAATTTAGACGTACCTCAACCCTTATGTGTAGCCATCTATTTATAGGGGCCTCGGAGGCTAGGGTTTCAAAGGAATATTTCCGTAGATGGAAAGGAATTATTCCTCCCCGATTTGGCGAGATTGGCTTAATTAGAGATTTGATTTATTTGATTTAAATCAAATTCCTAATTAAGGTAGGAATCAAATCAATCCCAATTAAATCAGGTAACTCCCAATTAAATTGAGTAACCCCCAATTAAATTGAGTAACTCCCAATTAGGTCAAATAATCCCCAAATGGAAGGAAATATTTGACCTAGGGTTTTGATTTAATTTGGTTCCCACAGCTTTGTTTAGTTCTCCTGTCTTGCCCCCTGACCAAAAAGTTTTTAGTGCACAGAACTATGATGCTGAGTATCTGAAGGTTTTATCAATCCATCATAGGCACTCTTCTTTGGCAATTCCTGATAAAAAGTGGCAATCTCCCCCTCCTGGTTATTTTAAACTTAATTAACATTGATGGTGCACTTAGCTTAAGTTCTAATTTACGTGGGGTTGGTAGAACGGTTAGAGATTCCTATGGTCGTCTTTGTGGGTCGGTAGCGATGTGTGATCCTAGCTTGCTGTCAGTCCTGGCTACTGAGTTGTATGCTCTCAAAATTGGTATTTCCTTTGAGGTGGATGCTTCTCTCACGCCTCTCATTATTGAGTATAACTCTTCGACCGTCATCCATTGTTATGTGGCAGAAAGGGCTCTAATCGAAGATATTCGCCGGCTCCTCGCCTCGCTCCCCTGTGTCTTGGTCAAGAAGCTTTAGCTTTTTGGTTTTCTAACCCACCTCTTTGGTTATAGGATTATCTAAATGAGGATTCTCCTGAGTGTACTGTTGCTTGACTCTCTAGTTGTCTCATCGTGTGTGGTACACTTTCATGTTCTGAGGCTTTGTCCCATTGGGTTTTCCTCAGAGGTTTTAACAAGGCCACTCTATACATGTTTTAACCTTGTAATACTCTGATTATCTAATTCATCCATCATTTTCTCCCAAAAAAAAAAAAAAGACTCTCACAAAGGGGAGGTGGAAAGCTTTCACAAAGCAAATGTGAAAAACTTTCACAAACTGAGAGATGAAAACTACACAAAACCTAAAGAGTCTCTGCGACTTATTCCAAACATAAAGAAACCGCAAAAATGATTGTGGTAGAGATCCAACACCGAAACGCAGGTGGAAATCTGAGGCCAAAACGCATCCGCATGTGATGAGTGTAGGAAAATCATGACAAAATGAAGACAAATAGAGGAAACCTTCTGTCTCCAAAAATTGGGGAAAAGAGGAGAAGGTATGAAGGGAGAAGGGGAGAGGGGAGGAAGAACATTGACTCCTATCCTCTCAAAGTGAAAACGGCTATAGAGTGTTTTTTGGGAGAGAGGGGACTAGAATTTTTGGAAAACTGTTTATAACACGTGTAGTTAGATGTAGAAGATTACATAATAAATCTTATTTGGTGATGCTTTTAGGGAAGTAGAACAGTTGTTGATACTTTAAAATCGAATTATTTCTTCAATATCTATCCAACTGGGCCCATAATATCCTAGCGTGAGAAAGTTGGGAGACAAATTGAGGAAAAAGAGGTTGGATGCTAAAGCTTCCCAACAATATTCAGAGTCACC